TCGACGATTTCCCCCCTTAAAAAAATCAAGTTTTAATTTTTACCCCACTGTAGGAAGGGTATTGTAAAGTATTGTTTTTGGGTATTCTGAGGTACTTTAATTATTTTTTTTGTTATAGTTTTTTGATCTTACTAACTAGTAATGTTTGTGCATCATACCTATTGGCAAATATTTTTTTTTCTCTTTCTAACTTATCTTTTGAGTGTTCTAGGCTCCGGTAGCTGTTTATAAAAAGTAACTTTGATGATTAAAAGTCTGAACTTCATTTGAATTTCGTTCTGGCATTCGTTGTCAATGTGGATCTTCTCAGTCATATACATAAAAATTATGGTACTTAATTTTCTTATTCCTTTAACCTCTGGTAGGTCGAAGCGTAGGTCTACGCGAGATACACTGCGTTTTCTATTGTGTCTCAAATACGCCACAAGAAGTTAAAGTATATCATAGTCAGTCAACAATTAAAAGTCTTACATAAAATATTGCTGCTATTAACATAGATTAAAAAATGCTTCTAATCGATACTAATTTGTTTATTGGTTTTCAATCTATATTCGACGCTGCATTGTAAGTTCTACATGACGTCAATTTTAGTTCAATATCAATAAAATTACTGTCAATATAAATAGAAAATTCCACCAGACCAATTCAAGGTCGTAGGTTATTACCATCACACTCACCAACAAAAAAGGAAAGTACTTTCAATGTCTGTGTACCTTTTGAACTGAAAATAAGTACAGAACAACCTTTCAGTTCTTCAAAATCCTGTTAATAATACTCCAATGTTTATAAAAGTCAATTTTATTAATTTTATAAATACTTGTAAGTCTTATTTTTAAAAAACAGTTTATGGGTGACGCACTCCAAAAATGAAACCTGCTTTTCGGTTAACTTTAAGGTGAAACAAGTGAATTTATTTCTGCAAATAGGCTACAAGACAGCACTTTTACACGTCAATTTTATTAAGCGAACGATGAGGCCATGAGGTGTGTTAACATGTGTATAAGCAAATTCGTCGCAATATCCACCATCTACATTTCCATATTTATGGTGCAACTAGCTACTGCTAGCGGCTTCGCCCGCGTTGCCGTGTAGCCTATGTGTTATTCCACACCATAATCTGCCCCTGTTCCCATATTTCATCCCGTTTTTCCTTTCCCCTTCTGCCGTTTTGACAAACATTCCCACAAACTCCCTCAGAAACTTTCGCATTTATAATATAATATTAATGTTTAATATTATAAAGCTGAAGAGTTTGTTTTTTTGTTTCTTTGTTTGAACGCGCCAATCTCCGAAACTACTGGTCCGATTTGAAAAATTATTTCTGTGTCGGATAGCCCATTTATCGAGGAAGGCTATAGGCTATAAACTATCACGCTACGATTAAAAGGTGCCGAGTAGAGCGAGTGAAACCGCGCGGATGTAGCTTGTTTATAATATAGTAAGATTTCTATCTGTTTGTTACTGAAACAACGACGTGAATAGAAAAGTGCAACTACTGACTTACAAGGCAGACTTGTAAGTATGTCGGTGTAAGCTATGGATGATGTCACTGCACATTCGTTTGAAACATTCATAACAATGACCTTATGGGCAGCCATGCAGAACGAGACGCGTGGCTACTCCACGTCCGTTACGTTAGCCCCACTGTCAAGGTTGACAGGATTCATTAGGTGATACCTTTGCGTAATTACTTAGAATTATTATAGTTGTTAATGCGTGTTAAAACAACGGTAACGGAAAAAGTAGGTTGTAACGAAGCGAATGTGATGTTATGAATACACGTAGGTAGAGTTTAATTAATTATTCATTTTTGAAAAGAGGTTTGTTCCGCTATGTTTAAATCTGATCACATAGTAAAACTAAATCAAATTGATGAAAATCATGTCTTAAGTAAAATAACGAAGGAGAACTGCAAGAAGAAAACTTTGCACATTATCACAGATTAATGAAACGAGACACAAATGCGTATAAAAAATACTATCTCTATTACAAGTGGCATTTCTCTCTGTCTCGAATCGCTGCACTAAAACATAATTCACGGTACTAAACACTTACAATTTCTTCATCGAAGGAATTCTCAACAAACACGTACTGTGGAAAGCCAATGGCACAGCTTCTTCCACGCATTCCTTTCAGCATCATTTTCCAATTAAACAGCTCGCACTGTACATCGCTCTTTCCTGACTTTCTTGTGAAAATGAATAAGTCATCGTCACCATATCATTATGCATCATGCATGGGGTGAAAATAAAGATGGGTATCACGTGCGAAAGATATGTTTCGGCATAAATTGGCCGGCTTGACCAGAGTTATACCACGGCCTCACAGAAAATCGGCGTGAAAACGTGATGTATTTGATCATATCCAAAACTGGCGGTCCAATTCTCCCTCCATCCCCAACAAGGCCACGCACTTGTAGTTGTACCATCTCTGGTGTAGCGGGATTTCATAGGCCCCACCGAATACCGTGATCTGCTTGTTTGCCGACCTTTCAATGAAAAAGGTATATAGTACTATCATAATTTAATGTCTATAGAAAGTAGCCCAAACAGTGTTGATCGTTTGTTGTGAAATCGAACAAGAATTGATAGATGCCATGTGAATGATGATTATATTTGGACATTGATGTTCTGAATGCTTAATGAATTGAAAATGTTTGACAATACAACAGATGTAAGTAGTTTTCTATGCGTTTGTAGTTTGGAACTGTATTTACATTTAGTTGACGATGAAGGGATATCTGTACTTGTGTCTACTGAATATAAATATGAAATTGCGAGCGGCATTTTCACTGTATAAGCAGGACCTTTTGTTTTAGCTTCCACAAAATTCTAACATGTTTACCAACCTGCCGGTGCCGCTTAGATATTCTTTACTAATAATATATGAATATTAACACGTTCTTAATAATATATTACGTCAACTTACCTCATGTTAACCTTGAATACAAATGGCAGCATATACATAAGTCTAGATAATTTTAAAAATTAACGTTGAACATGAAACTCTTAATATTTTCTTTTTCAACTTTTGAAAATCCATGATTTTTAACTTACTTTCAATTCAAAGTATATAGCAATGATATGGTCGTATGTCATGACTTGACAAGAAACGACTATGAGACATCATATAATTATAGTATCCAAAGACCATCAGAGCATAAATCTGATGAGTGATGACAATAAAGTGACAGAATGATAATGAATAATAACAATAGCCTGATTTTAGTCAATTTTCGACCAGACTTAGTCAACCTTGAGTTGATGAGTTAATCGAACTTCCCAAACAAATAGCCAAAAAAACATCTGACGCTTCTATTCTCAACAAAATGATCGCTGAACTAAAATTTAACGAATTGATTACCAAACTAGCATTTATTATTTAAGTTGGAACCTAACAGAGCGTATAAATATGATTATAAAACGAAAGTTTCGTCGCAAATTGTATTCAACCGCTTTAATGACACCAGATCACACCCGGACACGCGATTTTAGATCGTGAGACCACGATTAAGGTTCTTTTTAATGGAAGGTTATACAGAAGCTTTGTTATGTATGAGATAATTAACATATCTATACTTTTATGTAAGAAATTGCGAAGAGTGATGGTCCCTTCCCTGTTATAATAATAATAATAGGCTAGTTTCCTAAATTTCATTTTAATGTCCGTCTGGTAGATTATTTTAAAACATTAGACACGCATTTTTTTCTCACAAAATTAAATGCTTTCGACGATATATTGATTCGAAATGTCGTGTGACGTCACAGCGTGCTACAAAATCTAGCACGTTTTGACGTAACGACCTCCCACTCCTTAACTTACTCCATTTTATCTAAGTATTGTAACTTTATACGAGAAAATGAAAAAATACGTGTCTAATATTTTTTAATTATCTAACTGACGGACTAATTAAATTCTTAATTTTACTACCCTGGAAACTACCCAATTATGTGTACAATGTGTAACTCTGCGTTTACTTGTATCGTAGAATCTTATGTATCAACGATCTCAAAAATGTCTCCATCAATTGCAATTTTGTCTTTACTGTATTTTTGGCGCCGTCTACCGGACGAAGGATTCGATATCTGGGTCGTGCAAAGTTTAGTTTAGTTGCAAATTTTATACGAGATTGTGTATTGTGACGTCACGTTTTTTTAGCATCAAACAGCATACTAAAAATAAGTATGTAATAAAATCAATTGATGAAAGTGTAATTTTTAATATTTTATTGTATTGAACAGTCGAAATAATTTATTTTTGATTAAGGAAAGTACCCAATTGCCGTGTGTAACCGACTTCAAGCATTTATTAAACTAAAAACGATTTTTGATTTATTAAACATTTCCTTTAGAAAGGCGAGAAGGTGGTGTTCGTTATTAATATCAAAATTATTGCTTCCGATGGTAACAGTCGGTTATATATAAGTTAATAACAAAAATAAATATTAACATACAAAAATTGTTCGGAAGTATCTTGCAATTATTATTTTAGTGTTGACGGAAATCCGCACCGTTTTATTAAAGCTGAACGTTTTCCAAGCTTTTGTTGGTGACATTTAAATATTTTTTTTACGTTTACCTACTTAGATCAAATATACGAGTTATAAGCACTAATAGACAATACGCATTTTTTTTGTAAGGGGTGAAAGTCATCGAATGACTGCTCCCACCTGGGTGAGGCGGGAGGGGTCAGACTCTTACTGACTAAAAACCACCCCGTTCCTTCTCTTGCACGTCGAGCCGGAGCCCCGGTAGGGTTACCGGGGCTCCGGCTAGGTACCGTAGAAACCGCATAGGTTTTAATTAGCTTTAAAATTTTAAGAGCCACTTTGGTTGGTAGCTGTATGCTATGTTAGTAAAAAGACAATTATTAATTACTTCTTTCTAACGTGACTACATAAATTACGTAACTCGCGTTAGCAGCTACTTAATTGCACTTTAATTAATATATACATGTACTTAGCATTTATGTATACAAGCCATTTTCTTTTATTGTTTCAGATTTTCTTCTCTAGCGAAGATACGAAGGGAAACTGTTATGATAGCACAGTATAGCTCTAACAATGGACGTGTCGCGGAGCCAATCTCACAACTTGAATAGCTAGAAAATATAATAAAAACAAACCAATTAGCTAGCAGGTCTGTGAAAAAAATGTGACATAACGCCATCTAGCCGTACTTGTGCGAACTACGTAGACAGTGAAAGTGAAAAAAGATCAAAATGAAGTTGAATTTGTTTAAGCGCTCTATGATTTTTGCGACATTTTTCGGTTCGTGTTTGTGTATCGCGTTGATAGTGGCGTCTTTAGGGACTACGCATTGGATTGATGCGCGTGCCCGAAGGACATCAAATCCATTGGAATCTGAAGGGAGGATCAGTTTTGGACTTTTTGAAGGTCGGAAAGAGCTGAACCCTGCGTATGGGTGGAGGATTCATGATTTTAGTGGTAAGATACATTTTATTTATTTAATAAACTGGCTTTGCCCGCATTGCCCTAGGATAAAAAATAACCTATGTGTTTTTCCAGACCATAATCTATCCTTGTTCCAAATTTCAACCCGATTCCTTCAGCCGTTTTGACGTTATTAAGTAACAAACATACACACATACACACAAACACAACAAGTAAGATCTTTTACAATTTCGTACGATTGTAACACCTTCTTTGCGTAGGTACTACATAAGTATTTTGACTATAACGCAAAGAACGCCAAATCTTTCGTATAACTACTTGATACAATTACAAAGTACAAACAACACTTTAATGATGATGTGATGAGTTCATAAGTTGATGACAAATATGTTAGAAAAAGGTCAGGTATTCCATTCCTTTATACTTCTAGGTACGTACATACAGGGTGCCTCTGAAACCGACGTCCAAATGGCACCCGGTGTTCGGCAAGGCTCCGACATTTATCAGAAACACATAAAAATATGTCTTATAGTTTTTGAATTACAATGACTTAGGTATCCTTATCCTTACTAATCCTTACTAATATTATAAATCGGAAAGTGAGTTTATTTCTTTATTTGTTCCGCTTTCACGCCGTAAATACTAAACCGATTGCTTTGAATTTTTGCAGACGTAAAATTTAGAAGTCGGGATTAAATAATAGGGTACTTTTTATCCCAGTAAAATTTTATATTTCCGAGGGAAAACAAAAGTATTGGTATAGATGGCGCTGTATGTATTGATATAATTATGTCACGTAGGCTACTTTTTATCCTTTTGTGACGCGAGCGAAGCCGCGGGTAAGAGCTAGTGTGTTATAAACGAAAAAGTACACCCTGTGTCAGTCTTTTGAGTCTGGTTGATACAAACCTTATGACGTGTTTTATTTATTTAATTTTTATGATTTAAATGTTTCAGTGAAAGCCGGCACACATCCAGCTCGGAGATGGGCGTGGTGCGGTACAGCCGCGTTACTAGCGGCCTCTGTGTTATCAGCGGGCGGCGCATGCGTGCTAGCCGCATTGGGATCCGCTGCGCGGGCGCGTTGCTCCCCCAAACCTCTACTTATCAGTAATTCTTTAGCAGGTAGCTATAATATTATTGTTTATAAACAAGTAGAGTTCCTAACTAAATAGCGGTTGTTTTGTTTTGTCTGCTCACGACATTGGAGCGACTTAAAACATAATGTAGAGAGCAGAGGTAACAAACCTTAGACACTAAGTCCACGTCGCGTCATTTGACGAATACATGCGACCTACAAATGCCAGTACCTCATGATACTGGCATTTGTAAAAATCATGAAATTCGTGTGACCTAATTTATGGATCACCTTGCCATGGCTATCATACATCATAATGATAGCCATGGCAAGGGTGATTTATGCATCAATAGCCTATAAATGCCCACTGCTGAGCAAAGCCTCTTCTCACACGGAGAAGGTTTGAGCATTAATCACCACGCTTGCTCAATGCGGGTTGGCGATTACAAACTTATAATTATAAATGATAAGCCCAGGTTTCCTCACGATGTTTTCCTTCACCGTTTTTCAGTGGTGTCTAGATAATCTTAGAAAGTACATATAACTCTGAAAAAGTCGCCGTTGCCGTTGGTAGGATTCGAACCCGCATCCTCATGCATGAGAAGCGGGGTCTTAAACCTCCGGGCCACCACGACCACCACTGCCAGTACCTACATATAGAAAATGATGCATCTTGAATAGAAATAATGAACACTGTCCACCAAGCGGCAATGTTGCGTCACTCACTCCTCGTATAAATTGGTCTATTGTCATTTGTAGGTTGCATGCATTCTTCAAAATTCGAAATGAGGGCTACTGTTATTTTGGTCACTAGGTGCTACAAAACGTAGCAAGAGATCTTTTTGTCCAATCAAATATAGAATTTTGGACGAAAAACGAGAGGTTCATATTGGAGCAATTTGGTGAGCATAAATACCGTAGCCGCTATTGGTGATTGAAGAATTGAAGATTTGGGAATGTGGGAGGATTGGGACTCTGATACCTTCACTCACACGGTGAAACACAACTTGTAACTTGAAAGATGGCCACACTAGCGTATTGGATTATAACTGTAATGATAATGGTAGTTGTTAGTCCATTAAACAAATCTATAAATATTATATTAAAACTGTAGAAATGAATAAAAAAATGTGGTTAGATTTTTTGTCTGTCTCTTTGTCTGTATCGTTGTCCGCGTATCACATGAAAACTACTAATGCGATTCGAATGCGATTTTCACAGATGTATTTTTATTCTATAAACTTACCATCTGGTGTATAAAAATGTCTCCTCCCACCCTTTCAAAGAGACAATAGAGGGGGTCAGATTATGTATGAAAGTATCTCATTGGTCCGTATATAATTTTACTTAATGAGGGAATAAATGTTTGATTTTTGGTTGTATAATCAAATTACACACAAGCAGAGGCCTTAGTACGAGTTTGTTTTACGTTTAAAATATTCGAAACGAGTACGCGTTCGGCGTACTGATTGGCCGGCGCCAATGAACCAACCAATCAGAGCGCCGAACGCGTACAATCGTACTAAGGCCTCAGAACTGCGAGCAACATCTAGTAAATAAATTAATAAACTTATAAACATTTTATGCAATTCCAGTGCTATTCAGCCTCGGTGCAATAGCAGTATGGCTGACGGAATACTTTCTAAGACTGCAGCACAACGTCATGTCGGACGAGGACCTGGCCAACACCTGGTCTTCAGACGATACCGCTGACCTTGGATTGTCCTTCTGGTGAGAAAATTTTACTCAAATACCTTGTTTTGCGGCCATGCATAAATTACGTCACGCCCTCCCCTCGTTCTTGTCACAGCTTCATGTGAGACTCACCCCTAGTGTGACGTGATATTTTTCAAAACGTCTAGAAATTATTGAATGAAAACATTTTAATTAGTTGAAATTAGTTTTATTTCGCACGTAACAATAATAGAGGGAGTGGTCAAAAAATTGGTATCTTATATTTACACAGATATAAGATCAAGCAGAAGCAAGCCTTAGCAATCGCACTTGCGATCACGCTGTCATACGTAAATCTATACTATATATATAATTCTTTATTTTTTAAATGATACTGATGAGTTTATTTGTTGATTTGAACTAGCTAATCTCCACAACTACTAGTTCAAATTGGATAATTATTTTTATGTTGGATAGTCCATTAATCGAGGAAGGATATTAGGTAAATTATCTCATGAATATGAGCCTCTAGCATGGCTTGAAACTAGTCGAGTTCCTCGTCAAATTATTATGTGAGTAAGCCGAAAACATTATAGTTTATTTAGTATGTCTCACGAATGTTACAATACAAGGATATTAGGCTATAAAACATCACGCTGCGATTAATAGGAGCCAAGTATTTAATTATAACTCCCTCGACTGCCTCGAGTCGCACTTGCAACTGCTTCATCGGCCGAGTGGTCGTAAGTGCGACTACTGAGCAAGGGTGGGTTAGATTCCCGGGAATCCAACCCGAGGTGAGTTAGATTCCCGGGTCGGGCAAAGTAATACTGGATTAAAAAAAAAAACTCAGTACTAGCTCACCCCCTATTAAATGGCATTCATAACATAAATAGTGAAAGGTGGGTGTTACATTACACAGTGGCATTAAGTGCCGTAATGTGAAACAAGTGAAACAAGTGAAACAAGTGAATTTATTTCTGCAAATAGGCTACAAGGCAGCACTTTTACACGTCAATTTTATCAAGCGAACGATGAGGTCGACATTTCCTAACTGACTACTCTGAGAAGAAATGCCGAAACAAACTCAGAGGTCTGTCTCTTTTAAAGTCCAGACAATATGTATAACAGATTATGTGTGAGAACCGTGCCAGTTCTTTCTGTAGTGGGCTTTTGAGGAAAGAACCACAACAGTTTGAGCGGACCCGTTCTGAAGGCAGTACGCATGTGTCGGTTTACAGTCAGCTCAATTAACAGGTGAGGCTGACTGATTCGACGAACAATACCAACTTAAAGAACATTTGCGTGGGTCGCACAAATACTCAAACTGTCAGAAAAAGGGTAATTAGAAAAGAAATGGTGAGGCAAAGTCTCGCACGGTCCTAGCACTAACAATTGTTAAATAAAAAGTAAATGTCAAGTTAGAACAACATATGAAAAACAATGTCACATTAAAACAATAATGTCAAATTGCATATAAAAAAAGAAATGTAACTATATGTTACAAACATGTCAACATGACCTGTGTGGACGTTACAGCAGCTTATTCCCAAGCCAGACTATCATCTAGGTAGTCTTTTATTTTATAATAAGCTTTACTATAAAATTTATCTTTAATGACATTTTTAAATTTATTTAGACTCAAATTTTGGATATGGCTGGGAATCTTATTGTAAAAGCGTATACTCTGACATCTAAACGAACCACTTATTTTCTTTAGTCTAGTAGTGGGAACAACATATTTGTCTTTATTTCTCGTGTTTATATTATGTATATCACTATGTTTTTTAAATAAACTTTTGTTTTTATGAGCATATACTAAATTTTCATAAATGTATTGAGAAGCAACCGTCATTATATTAATTTCTTTAAATAGTTCCCTGAGAGAGTACCTCGGACTAAGATTATAAATTGATCGAATGGCCCTCTTCTGCAGAACAAAGATAGATTGAATGTCAGCAGCATTCCCCCATAAGAGAATACCATATGACATAACACTATGAAAATAACTAAAGTATACTAATCGCGCTGTATCTACATCGGTTAGATTTCTAATTTTTTTAACGGCATATGCTGCAGAACTGAGCCTTTTCGATAACTTATTTATATGTGGAGCCCACTGGAGCTTAGCGTCTAGGGTTATACCTAAAAAGACAGTAGAATCTACAGGGCTCAACTCCTCACCCTTAATGAGCACGCTGGTTTTCACATGTCCAACATTTGGTGTTGTAAATTTAATGCATTTAGTTTTAGTTCCATTTAGTAATAGGTTGTTGGCATTGAACCAGCGTACTATCTCCGAGAGAGCACTGTTCACATTATTAATAACTAATTGTCTACGTTTAAGTTTAAATAATAACGAAGTATCATCCGCAAACAGTACTATCCCGTGGTTATCCCTTACAAGGTAAGGTAAGTCATTTATATATATAAGAAACAAAAATGGGCCGAGAATTGACCCCTGCGGAACCCCCATCCTGACAACAGACCCGGTGGAGACTTTTCCGTTTATTTCGACTCTCTGAATCCTGTTACTCAAGTATGAGGTAAGAAGATCCAGAGATTTACCTCTTATTCCATAATGGGATAGCTTCCTGATCAATGTATCATGAAGGACACAATCGAACGCCTTGGATAAGTCACAAAAAATGCCCAAAGCGTCGCTTGAGTCCTCCCACGCGTCATATATGTGATTAAGAAGTTCAACACCGGCATCAGTTGTTGAACGACCCCTGGTAAAACCAAACTGGTTACTATGTAACAATTTATTTCTATTAAAAAATCTTTGCATTTGATTTAGAATAATTTTTTCAAAAATTTTACTAAATGTAGGTAGTACTGAAATAGGTCTAAAGTTAGTGGGGTCAGAAGTACTACCTGATTTAAATAACGGAGTTATTTTACTATTTTTCATAAGATCAGGAAACACACCGCGGTCGATACAATTATTAAAAATTAGAGCTAATAGAGGTGCTATAATAGCTATAACAGAGCTGGCAATGTACACAGAATTTCCCCACAAATCTGCAGTCTTTTTCTTATTTAAGGTATGGAAGGTTTTGACGATATCTGTACAATCTATGTGTTCAAAAGAGAACCCTATGCTGCAAGCTATAACGTTTTCTTTTAGTAAAGATTCTGCAACAGTGGGAGATGAATTCAATGACTTAGTCGTAGATATAGGAATGTCCGAAAAGAAACTTTCAAATGCAGCTGCAACTTCTGCGTCTGATTTTATTACATTATTATCAATTAGAAGACTATATTCATTACTTTTCTTTTTGGACCTTCCCGTCTCACTGTTAATAATACTCCAGGTCGCTCTGATGACATTGGTACTGTTCTTTATTTTGGAGCTCAAGTACCGCGACTTTGCAATAGCGCAGACCTTTTTAAACAATTTAGAATATTTCCTAACATATACATTAAATTCGATTGTGTTAATAAATGTCCTCTCACTATATAGCTCATAGAGACGTTTCCTACTTTTATGGATGCCAGTGGTTGCCCATTCGTTGAAAGACACATTGCCTTTAACTGGTATAGTTTTAGGTGTAAAGGTAGACTTAAACTCGGTATGGTACATATTAAAAAAATCATCATACAAATTATTAGGATTTTTATTCATCAACAAAGGTAATTTTTGAGTGACTTTAGATTTGAAGGTTTCAATGCGTCTTTCAGTCTTTGGGTTGACAGTGATAAATGGTTTAGACATTGTATTTACATGATTTGTTATTGAAATTAACTGTCCGCAATGATCTGAATCAAGCAATGATATAATTTGTTTCTTAATTGGTACAATGTCAGTATAAATATTATCCAGGCAAGTGGCACTAGTGGGAGTTATCCTAGTGGGCTCCAGAAATAAGTTCGCAAGGTTAAATGAGGCAAATAAACTTACAATTTTAGTGCTTAGACTAGAATTCTCTAACAAGTTTACATTAAAATCGCCACAGGTAATGATGAATTTGTGAACCGCTGCCTACCCCTTCGGAGATGAAAGGCGTGATGTCATGTTATTTAATTATAAAATATTTTCATTTCCAGGTTGGTGGTAGCAGCCAGTATAACAGCATTTGTCAACAATGTCTGTGTATTGATAGCAATGGCCGATGGACGGGATATGGACACCATAGCGCCCGCGTTAGAAGAGAAGGTTAACGGCGCCATTATGTTATATTAACCCCTCCAGATGCAACACACATGTGTATAGTTAAAATATTTGCTCCCATTATTCATAAACTATCGTAGCGCCTATTTCACCACCTTCAGTATAAGTACCCGATAAACTTATGTGAGGTGGTTTATACTTATACGTTATTCGTATAATTACGTTCTTAATTCTTGAACTGGTACATAGCGGGTAACCGGACATTGTGAAACAGGTGTATTATTTTAACAAACTTATATCGACTTAAATGACCCTCTTACAATTTGACCTCTTAATCGCCAGTCATGATAGATAACAGTAAAAAAAAAAACACTTCGTAGGGTCGATTTTTCAATCATCAGTTAATAGGGTAGATTTCAATGTCCGTCTGGTAGATTAATGTAAATCTTTAGACACGTATTTTTTATTTTCTTACAGAATCTCACACTTTCTACGATATATTGATTTGAAATGTCTCGTGACGTCACTTCTATGTTCATTTTATACGTAGAAATAACGTTTTAACCCCACTCCTAAACTTTGATTCGTTTTATCTAAGTATTGTTTAATTGTAGGACAAAATAAAAAAATACGTGTCTAATATTTTTTCATTACCTAACTTACGGACTAATTATATTTTTAATTTTCATACCCTGTCATCATCCCTATTCTTAACTATAAAATTGACATTTGACAGTTTTTAGTATTGAAGAATTGTCAAATGTTATTCCTCAATTAAAATTTAACTGGCATTGAAAAAAATCGGCCCTTACTTGTTTCAAAAATCTCAAATACATTCCATATTCAACTTTATGTACTTAAATGCAGAGTATAAAATCGTAATATTTAGTAGTTTTAAGATGTATGAAGGCTGAATGTTAGTTTAACTTAGGTTATGAATAACTCCGTCCATGTTTATTGTATGTAATCAAACGATTGATTAATTTATTGTACAAACTTGAATTTTATAACTTATTTTTATACAGACATCAGATTGGTCGATATTCTATTCTAATTCGAAATCGATTGTAGATTTCTATTATATTATATTTAAATGTTGATATAAAGAAGTATTGTTCTAAACTTACTCCGTCCATACTAATATGAAAGATCTGAAATTATAGTCGAAGAGCCACTGAACCCTTGGGAACAAAGTTCGTCCAGTAAGGCTAGAAAGGAGGATTATGTCAGACTCTTACTGACTAAAACCACTCCGTTCCTTCTCCTGCACGTCGAGCCAGAGCCCCGGTTACCCGTTAAGTTCTCCGCGGCACTCTTTACCCGGCTTTTTTTTTTAAGGGGGGAAAATCATCGAATGACTGCTCCCGCCTGGGTGAGGCGGGAGGGAGTGTCAGACTCTTACTGACTAAAAACCACCCCGTTCCTTCTCCTGCACGTCGAGCCGGAGCCTCGGTTACCCGTTAGGTTCTCCGCGACACTCTTTACCCGGCTACATGTATCATATTGCGCTGCACAAATCAGTTTGCGCGTAAAGAAACAAAGAAAGAAAGTTTAACTTGTTACAAATAATACACATGATTAAAACTAAATGATAGCAATGTCGATGATGGTGATGGCAAGAGTGTCGTGGTGGCTCGGATGTGTTTAAGGCCTGACCTGACAAATTGTGAATGAAAACATCGTAAGGAAACCTGATCTTATAATTTCTAATTGTAAGTTTGAAATCGCCAACCCGCATTGAGCAAGCGTGGTGATTAATGCTCAAACCTTCTCAGTGTGAGAAGAGGCTTTGCTCAGCAGTGGCCATTTATAGGCTGTTGATGTATGATGTATGGTAGCCATGGCAAGGGTGTTCCATAAATTAGGTTACACGAATTTCATGATTATTTGTTCAATTGTGACGTCACAAAGTTTAATTTATCCTTGCCACCTCTTCGTCACACATTGTCACACTTCGTCGACCCCCTTCCTCACCTCAGCGTGTAATGCAATATTTGCCTGCCCCAAATAATCATAAAATAATGACAAGAAATAAGAAAAGACAAAGTAATTTTTGCCAGGTAATACCTACAGTTATATTGCCTCACAAAAACCATGGCAATAGTTTGTCGTAGTGTGGGTTCACCCATTGTCGTTTTTACGCGTTTGCCGGGCATTACAGGTGCTTGTTATCACCGGCCTAATTTTTTCTAGGCATTAGGTAAAACAAAATTTTCTTATTAAGTAATTTTCTCGATAGAATCATTCGTATTAAGTGGTACATTTCTTTATTATTTGTTATGAATGGGTCGCGTAGTTACTATCGCGTACGCATGGCGCGACGGTGCAGCGTACAATCACATCAAGTTTTTATAGTCTTCTTTGTGCCGTGATATCTCAATACGTTTGTATTGAGCGATACTAAAAGAAAAAACTATGTATTCAATGTTTTTCGCCAAAGATTAATATATCAAAATTTGGCCGGTGACTACAATAGAAAGAAAAAGAAAGAAAAACCATTTATTTCTGCGCAAAACACACATAACATAATTATTTAAAAAATAAAAAGAAAACAAAAAAAGCTAAAAAATTAAAATGAAGTGAGATCTTGTCCATGGTCCACAGACTTATTATTTTACTGAAATGATAGAATATTTAATATCTAACATTATCTGTGGACCATAGACAAGGAAACACTGCCCATGCCATTGTTACATGCTCTGTGGTCATAATATTGTGCGTCATGTATGCGTGCGCAAAAACAGGATAATGCTCAGCAATTTCTGCGACTTAAACCTCAAGAGGTTAGCGTCGCAGCGCTGATTTTCAGCATCTCCTTGGGTGACGTAATGGCGTCCCGCCAGCTTCACTAATCGCCAGCGAACAAGAATGCAAAACAACAAAACAACGAAATGATGTGAGTGCAGACCATGATTCACTTAACTTGGTAAATGTAGTGACGTGAATTGTTGCTATTAAAGCAGTAGTGTACCGTGTGTGAGTGTGATATGAATTGTGTGTTTTGCATTTACAGCAAGTAGCCGGCATGACCTGTAAAATACAGATATACCTATATTGACCATAAATGATGGGGGAGGCTGCAGCTACGAACAACAACCTGTTGGATACCTGTGCATCACCATGTTGGAAGGCCGCGACCCTTGAGGTGAGTAGTGAATTGTATGTGTTATGTATGTAGTGTGTGTAATCTATGTACGTTTTTGTGTGTTTAACAGTAAATTCTTCAACTGTTGTAAAAAGTGTTTTTTGGTTTTCAGGCCTCGCATTGGTGGTGGCAGGTTGTTCCAACAGTGAGTCGCAGCATATTTGAAGCTCCCCCTGAAGGCCGCTGTTCTGTGCTGAGGGATGGATAGTGGATTTGTAGTTGAGCGTATGTGGTTTATTGAACTATGCTGTCTCCACTGTAATTTCTCATACAGGTACCGTGGCTTTTGGGTAGTAATAACTCCAAACAATAGGCCTGCCAGGTGCAAACGTCTCCGAGCTTCCATTTTTAAAATATTGTTTCGATTCGCAAAAGGGGTGACATGGCTTCTTCATTTCCATATCGAATAATTTCGCAACGTCCCTATTTCGTACTTGTCATAACGTTGCAACACTGAAATTGTCAAATCTGGAATCGGATTAAAATTCCGAGTATAGATTAAGCCACAGTCGGACTCTTCTACATGATCAGCGTACGCGTCCTGCAGTCTACTCCGACCGCCTACAGAGACTGGAAACTATATGCTGAAACTAAGAAATGGAGCCACTAGCGTTTTCTTCTTCATCTATATAGAGGTAAAAAAAATGAATTTCCGTCCGTTAAATTCGCTAAAACTCGAGAACAGCTGAACCGATTTGACTAATTTTGGTCTTGAAATGTTCTTGGAAGTCCAGAAGCCTTAGTACAAGTTTGGTCCACGTTTAAAGTAATCGTAACGAGTACGCGTTCGGCGCTCTGATTGGTTGCTTCATTGGCGCCGGCCAATCAGAGTGCACAACGCGTACTCGTTACGAATACTTTTAACGTAAATCAAACTCGTACTAAGGCCTCGGGGAAGGTTTAGAAGGTGAGAAAAAAAATGTTTAGACGGTACAACCAGTCAGGCAGTTTCTTGATATATATTTTTTTACAAGTATTTTATTCAGTAAATTATTATGTTTTCGGCTTACTCACGTAATAATTTGACGAGGAACTCGACTAGTTTCAAGCCATGCTAGAGGCTCATATTCATGAGCAGTAGGGTGGTCCAAAATTTTCATTTTTGTTTTTTTGATACGGCCAGCCCGTAAATTTGTTACATATACCTATTGCACTAACCTAGTAAAATTACAGCAATTCATGTTTAGTGGAAGGGGGTGCTCAACCAGGTGTTATTTTTAATTTATAGTGATAAATACTTCGTTTTGTTTTTTTCTGTGTTAGGTTAATTACAAGTACATAATATATGATAACTACTTAAATATACAGGGAATATAGTATTTTAATGATTAAAATTCAGAAAAACGATTGCTGTGACTGTATAATAACTATTGTGTGACTGTGAAATAGTGCAATAAAATGAGTTCTTCAACCCGTAAAAAAGATGTCATTTTTCTTCTTGGATGCCGGGACCTTGAGCCACTACTAAGGCTAAACCAACTACCAACTCTTCGCCAAGTTCTATTCCGTGCACAAGTAGTCATTCAAGATGTAATAGAGGTATGGAACAAATCTGGTATTCCTACAAAACAACAAAATCACTGCAATGAAAAACTTATCAAAATTCATAAAAACTGGCTGCTTTTAACTCGTCGAGTACCGTCGATACAGACACAATGATAGAACAATAGGTTGCGGTCACCGGTGACCGCTTGGTGTTTGACAGTTTAAAGAAAAACAAAACAAGAGTTTCAGAAGCTCAGAAAAAGAGGGAGAATGCGTTCATAGCAGATCTAGATAAATTATTTGATATTGCCCATTCACGCGCTTTAAATTCAATAAAAATTGCGGAAGACAGAGATTTTCTTATAGATCAAAGAGGTGAGCGCAAAATGATCATGACTTCACTTGACAAGAAGATGGCAAAAGGCAAAGAACGTTCTTTAAAACGAAAATATAGAGCTGAAGAATTAAAGAAAAGGGCAGAAAATAATAGTGCACCTTTGGTGGTATTGAGTCAAGAAATATCACTGGATTCCAGCTTTAGTAGTACTTCTAGTGCCGCAAGCCTTGCTAACAAACAGAAAGATGAGGAGTTTGTTACGGTTTTACAAAAAAAGGCACACAGTATCACGAGTGCTAGTGACAGTAGCCCGCCATCAACATCAACTAGTAGTATTTTTACAAAACATGTGACGGGCGCTCTTGACCGCAACAAGATAACCGATCGAGAGGCAATGCGACTGATTATTCCGTTGTCTGCCGCACTTGGCTGCAATCCTGCTTCACTCTCAATTTCACGAAGCACAATTCGACGAGCCAGGAAAAAAGCTAGGCAAGAATTCAATGAAAACTTGAATGAAACGTTCAAGCCGTCTTATCCATTAGTAATACATTGGGATGGTAAGATACTGCCTGATATAACGGGCAATAAGAAAGTATATCGCCTACCGATTCTTATTTCTGGAAATGATACTGAAAAATTGTTATGTGTACCTAAACTTATTACACCAAAATTTGGATAGAAGCGCCTTTGACAGCAGATGCACCGATGAATAATTTACAACTTTGGAAAAGATTGAAATCGTATGAAGTAATAGATACTGAAATAAGTGCAGCAGCAAGAGAAGTCTTAGAGCGCCATTTGTGGTATTTATCAGATGAAATAGTAGCCTTTGCCTTATTTTCCGACAAGGTGTCTTGTGACGAGAAAGTGGGTATTGTTCAAAAAATGAATGCAGCAGGGGGATGTCGTAAAGTACGTGGTGACTCTACTAAACTATCAGTCACGGCTACCGTAGGAGACTTTGCATCTGAAAGAACAATACGGACGCTCAAAATTCTTGACATTAAACATTCATTCCTGCAGTTGCCTCCCGAGATTTGGGGCGAGAATGATGATTACATTCAAGGTAAAACTTGCATTAAAAACTTACGTGTCGTTAACGATACTGCGGAAAGAGGTGTGAAATTATTTGAAGATTACAATAAAAATGAGGAAGAAAAGCAATTTATACTTCACGTAGTAGAACAAAACAGAAAAATCATTTCTACCGAGACATCCAAAAAAGACTTAACTAACATAGTTTTACAAACATTATTTTTTAATAAAAGCCAGTTAATAAGGAGCACACTAAAATTTTTCATTTAACAAACTGGCTTTCCCATGTCAATGCTTTTTTCATAAAATTGGTAAACTTCAAAGTCAATGAGCACCCACTTTAACTTTAGATAGGAGTCTGAAATTTAAAATAGATAATAGTACAGATATGTGTAACAAAATAAAGGGGTGGCGAGAATGTAACTGAAAAAAAAAATTTCGCTGTATGTAGGTGGACCACCCTAATGAGCAGCATTTCGAACACGCGGCGACTGTCGCGCTGCTACTGCTCAGTAAGCTTGAAACTAGTCGAGTTCCTCGTCAAATTATTACGTAGGTAAGCCGAAAACATAATAATTTATTTAGTATGTCTCACGAAAGTTACAGTATTTTATTCATTGGCGACGTGTGTCGTATAGAAGGCTCTTTGGTTACCTCTAAAATGGGAGCATTTAGGTGAAAAATGGAATATTTTTTTTAAGTTACAAGACGGTTCGATAAAATGGAAAAAGAACGTTAGTGGCTCCGTTTCTTTGCTCTCCCAAGGGTAGTGGATCTAAGGCTTTTATCAATATTTATCACTACCATTTTTAATGAATATAGTTCAAACATTTTGTTCTCAATTAACTAAAAATCGCGGGATACTCACGTGAATGTGTGTCTCTCACTCACCCCCTATTACATGGGACTCATAACATAAATAGTGAAAAGTGGGTGTTACATTGTACAGTGGTATAATGTGCACCTCTGCCTCCCCCTTCGGGGATAAAAGGCGTGATGTTATGTTATGTGTGTTGCGTGTCGCGCAGCCTATTGGACATCGCCGCGACCGCGCACGCTGCTCATGAGAAAGAATCTCTGTGGTTCGAAACTAGTAGAACATATCTCAGTATATTCACGTGAATAACCCGCGATTTTTACTTAATTTAGTATGTCTCACGATAGTTATTATCTTTATCCTAGCTAGATATTTATATTACCCTATCGAAGTTCGAATATTATTTACTCAGCACATTCTGTTTTATGTATATTAGCCGTGCCATTAGTATAAGGAAACACCTCTTTTATACTAAGATTATTTTTGTATACATAATTGTATTGCAATCTTGTATTTAATTGATTTTATTGTTTTTAATACATAAATAAAATAGTGATTGTAAACGTTGTTGTTTTAATTTTTTACTAGCTTCGCCCGCATTCCATTTCTGTGGGATTAACCCTCCATAATATTCCAGACCATAATCTATCTCTGTTCCACAATTTAATCCCTTCAGCAGTTTTGACGTGGTCGAAAAACAAACATACACACAAAGAATACACTAACACATAAACTCACAGACTTTCGCATTTAGAAGTAAGAAGGACTAGCGCAAGAGACCCTTTTTTGAGGGGGATAATCATCAAATGACTCCTTGCCGTGGGTGAGGCAGTAGGCAGTGTCAGACTCCTTAGGGGGTGTTTCTTCAAAAAACTTTAACTTTTATTTAACAAATCATTGTCCTCCCGCGTTGTTAAGCATCGCGGTAAATTATTAGCATCTGTATATTATTGCATTGAGTGAGAGCAGTGACATGGCTCAATTTTTTGAAACTAAACTTTGTATTTTAATCAGCAGAATTGTTAACTGTAACTTAAGGAAAATGACTGCCTCGTTGGCCGAGTGGTCGCAAGTGCGACTGCCGGGCAAGGGGTCTCGGGTTCGATTCCCGGGTCGGGCAAAGTATTACACATTTAACTCGTCGAGTACCGGTTTTGTAGACACAATTATAGAACAATAGGTTGCGGTCACCGGTGACCGCTTGGTGTTTGACAGTTTAAGTAGGTCCAAAAAAAAAACTAACAATTCAAGTAAATATGCGTACAACTTATCACACAATGGTGAATTCTTCCAGACGACCTTTGGATGGAAATATTTATAAGAAACCAGATATGGGGTAGTTAAATGTACTTACAATAAAAAAACAAAATAAAAATACCTACAATACAACCTACAATAGAAATATTATACTAGCAATATACTTATAAAAAAAAAATACAAAATAGTATACATTTTTTAATAAACTATGTGTGTGAGTGCGTGTGTGTATTTGTGTTACTTAGTACATATATACAGGGTGTTGTTTTAAAGTCGCGTCATTTTCTAGGAGGCAACTCAGCTATCGATTCTGAGTCCGAATCAATAAAAAAATTGTAGGTAAATATTTTTCGTTTTTTGTAAATTACGGAAATCCGTAAGTGCGAACTATAGCCGCCGTCTTGTAACTAGCTTTATAACGCGGCTCAACACACACAAACTCAAACACGTAATTGATATTATTCCTAATTCCATAAAACTCCAATAAGTAACATTGCTGTCGCTTATTCTGAAATGCTGTCGAACTTAAACGATTTTTTATAGCCGTATTTTTAACTATTGGCCCGAAACTTTCTCTTACATTGAACCTTTATGACTTCTGTGACATGCCCCCGAGAAATATCACGGCTTCAAAACTACACCTTGTATAAAGCTGAAGAATTTGTTTGTTTGTTTGAACGTGCTAATCTCAGTAACTACTGGTCCAATTTGAAAAATTTATCTTTTAACATATTTTTAATTTCAATCATCGGTTCAGTTACAGCGTAAAGTCCACTGCACGCAACCTAACATTCGACAAACTTATATTTGCGTTTGGTAGAGTAACTGAGACTCCGAACTGAGTGAACCGCGAGTCAACTGCAAAATATAGTCATATGCTATTGTGGGATACTTTTGATATGAAATTATGTAGAAAATTTCCGTCTAATTAATTTCTATGTAGCTTTAACCAATAAATACGGACCAATGGGAATACGGGACGGAATAACCAATGGGAATACGGGAGTAACTTCTGCCGTATTCCTAACAATTCTCTTCACTGCTCTGCTCCTATTGATTTTAGCGTGATGGAAAGTATATGATTTTTTTTAAGGGGGGAAAATCATCGAATGACTGCTACCGCCTGGGTGAGGCGGAAGGGAGTGTCAGACTCTTACTGACTAAAAACCACCCCGTTCCTTCTCTTGCACGTCGAGCCGGAGCCCCGGTTACCCGTTAGGTTCTCCGCGACAGTATACGATACCTTACGTACGTTACGGAGTATGAAGAATAATTGTACCAAGTTTCGTTAAAATCCGTCGAGTAGTTTTTGTGAAATAAATTGAATGTACAGAATTGACCTGTCTGCAGATTTATTATACAACACAAAACTGCGATGCGATTTCGTGCGACAAGGCGTCTCCTTCGACGACCGGCAACCGTACTAAACGTATTTTAAATTGATGAAAACTGCACACTTCTTTTTACGATCCATGTCACGAGACATGGATCGTAAAAAGAAGTGTGCACTTCTGTTATTACTTAGGAGATACAGGACAAAGAAACAAAGAAGATTTTGGGAAGATAAGATTTTGATGCGCGATGCGAATCAATTCGCAGGTTCCTGCGATGCGTAGAGGGAGATCGCACATTTTTGCGATGTGACGTCACATCGCAGTTTTGTGTACGAGCCCTTATAGGCTGTTGATGTTGAAGATGTATGATAACTTCATAGTGTAACATAACATCTACGTATCGATAGGTATCAAAAGTTTCAAGTTTTCAACAAAGTTAAATAATTTGAAACTGAGAGGTAAAAAGCGTTCATCTTGGGACTTGGTAATCTGTTTAGTTAGGAGAATTTGTGCGAAAACCGTTTAACATATCTCTTCATAAAGATAAACACGTAGTCGTAATTATTTTCTAATTGTAAGTTAAGGGTAACGTCTCTCGAGGTTTGTAATTATAAGTTCCACGATTGGTAAAGTTTTGGAGTGACGTTATGACTCGAATTTCGTTTTTGATATTTATAACACATTTGGCCTTTTATTATTATTTTTTTATGGCATAAGCCGGTAAACGAGCAGACGGATCACCTGATTGTAAGCAATCGGCGTCGCTCATGGACACCTGGAACACCAGAGGCGTTACAAGTGCGTTACCGGCTTTTTGAGGATTAGGAGTTTGAGGATCTTTGGGGATTCAGGGATTGGGGAGATTGGGGAAGGGGAGGATAATTGGGCCTCCGGTAACCTCACTCACACGAGTGAGGTTACCGGAGTTAAAAAAAAAAGTTACGCGACGTTGCCACACATGTCATGCAAAGTCCGGCAACGTCCCGCTACTTCACTCAATGTAGTTGTCGACACGCGTCGCTCGAAGTTACCAAATATGTATGTCGAGAGAAGTCCGGCAACGATGTGCTATTTCACCGTACGTCGCCGTGACACGTGTTGCACGACATTTGTCCCGTAGTGTATCCTTAACTTTATGCTCACCATTAGACGATACACCGTCTAGTCGCTTACCGCGCTCTCATCTATATATGTATATACATTTCTTCTTCTATATCTTCTATACATACATTTAAAAAAATCGTAGAAAATTCAAAACTGTACATTGAATATTTTCGAAAAATAATACTTGAATCGTGATCTGCAATCGATACCGAAACCAAAAATATGGTTTTTAGAATTTTTGTCTGTTTATCTGTTTGTATGTCCGGGATGATCTCAAAAAGTACAGCATGGATTTACTTCAAATTTTGAATGAATATTAAGTACTAACAAGTCAGGTCAACATGTAGGCTACATATTATCACGCTATCATCTACGGGGAGGATTCTTATACTAGGTACTGTATCAATTCTGACGACATTCGTTACCGTAGAATATCCCTTGATAAAGACTTATTCAAAAGCCTAAATTCTGCCAGAAGTCATTATTCTACGCGGACAAAGTCGCGGGCAACAGCTAGTTTAAGAATAAAATCGAAATAAAAGTAAGACATCAAAAAGACGATATATTATATTTTCACAATACAAAAACAATATTCTTTAAAAATGTAGTATCCCAACAGAAAACTGCTTGACATTTCGGACGACATTATACATAGGATAGGTGTGAGATATTGACAGGCTTCGCGACCCGTTCTAACATCAACCTACAATCAATATTAATTGAGTGAAAGATATATTATTTGAAACGACAATATTCTAGTTTATTTTTCTTATATGAATGTTTGTCGTGTGAAAATTACAAAGTGTCTGTATTCTGTTTTTATATAAAAGGTTTTAATTACAGTTTAACGACTGATATGTATATATAGTCTACCATTATGAATATAGGTACCTATATAGAGAACTAATATTAATCTTAATTAATATACAACAGACCTACAGTCCATATAAAATAAAGATATAAAAACTTTTTAGTTGCGGTACCCTTATTTAAAACGGAACGGATTTGATTGATAAACAGATATGATCCTAACGACTCTAATCATAAAGGATATAATTATATATTTTCACTCAAATATTTTATGAGAGTAGGTTGGTGTTAGTTCGGATCTTTTAATATTATGTGTTTCCATTTAGAACGTAAGTGTTTGCCACGCTTATGAAGTAGTACCACACTGAAAAAGAATATTACATCTGATGAAAGAAGGATGTGAATCAGATTATTAATAATAATTATAAAAATGTTATTTTTGTTTGTTTGTTTGCTTGCACCCTAAAGGCTCTGAAATCAGTGAAACCATTTTGACCATTCTTCCATTAACCTTTAGGCTTATTGTCCATGTGGCGTCAATCTATCAATGACAATACTTGGCTTGTAAATGACAAAATGCTTGCATCTTGTCATTTCCTTTGTATCTTGTCTTTCGGCTTCACAGAAAACCGACGTGAAGCAACGCTTGCGTTGTATTTCGTCGTGTGAGTGAGATTACCGGAGGCTCAATTAACCCTTGGTCCCAATCTCCTCAACCCCTGAATCCCCCACAAAACTTAAATTCTCAATTCCCAAAAGGCTAGTAACGCACTTGTAACGCCTCTGGTATTTCAGGTGTCTATGGGCCACGCCGATTGCTTATCATCAGGTGATCCGTCTGCCCGTTTACTGGCTTATTCTATAAAAGAAAAAGAAGAAAAGATCTTGCTTACACACAAGGAAAACTATCCATGAAGTAACGTTAACCCACTGACTAAATACCACCCCGTACCTACCTACTCATGCTTTGTGCTGCAGCCCTGGGAACGTATAACCTGGCCCTGTTGAAATATCATCCCCTAAATTTGTCTTTTCATACAAAAGTAGTCTCTAAACATCGGAAATAAGGTCTATAATGTAGTTAGTGGAGAGCGGCCACCGGTGACCGCTTGGGGATAAATGGGTGTCGTGGGCGGCTAGGTATCGGGCAAAAACCCTACTCGGCCCCATCTGTGATGGTTTGGTAGCACACTGTGGCGCGCGCTATAAGTATGTAAGTAGAAATAAATTAGTTACTCACATATTAGGTAGAACACCACGATGATGAGTGCTATTGCTCCCGACAACCAATCCATATGACCGAGAAAGCATTTTGATTTCATTAAGCACTCATAAGTTATCGCAAATATTATGAGTAATCCAAGAAGTATATTTAAAAATATTAGCCATATAAACCCCTGCGCATATCCTTCTTGGTCCTGAAACATAATAAAATTCCTATCGTGAGACATACAAAATTAACTAAAAATCACTGATAGAGCTACTAGTTTCGAACCACAGAGGGGTTGCGTTACGAGCCCATCGCGCCCTCTGCTGGAAGCTAGCCTGCGCGACATCGACGCGACCGCGCACGCTACTCATGAAGAAGAACCCCTCTGTGGTTCGAAACTAGTAGAGCTTTTCTCAGTATTTTCACGTGAGTAACCCGTGATTTTTAGTTAATAACAAAATCCATTTATTTTATATCCGACTCTTACTGTAAGTTGTTATTGCCATTTTCACCAATCACCTCCTAAACTGTCACTTAACTAATCGTTACTTACGTGAGGAACCTTCACTTGTTCTATTGTGGTGTCGCTTACAGATTGGTGAAAACCAAAGTGACGTTAACCGTCGCCTATCTTAGCTTAGGGGTTCCTTTAAATTTAGAAGAGGTTGATGGCGTGGTGGTGGTGGTGGTGGTGAAAACGGGCACGTTGATTAAGAAACCAGACATTTATCAGAGCCAAACAACAGCTCGCGCTAAATGGAAACATTTTAAACTGCGTACTCCAATCTGCTTACCAAGCATGTACACTAATGGTCTATGGCAAACCTTCATCAATTAGTCTAGCAGAGAACTGGTATAGTCTTACAGTGATGCAATTTTTTCCAATTTTTTCGGATAATGTTCTCTAATTTTGTATATAAAATCTCTATCTAATTACTCAGGGAACTTTTAGTGGTCTTTGTATAAAAATCCAATCTCAATTTTACTTAGTCACGATAATAATATTATGTGTTATGGACTGATTTCGATATTTCTTTTTATGGTAATTTTTGGAGCAAACCGTAACGGGCTTCTAATTCAATTCCATATTACAAGATGAACAAAAAGAACTGAGTGGACAGTCCTTAAAGCTAGGGATATACGAGGGCACAGATGTCCTGCGTTATGTATCACCAGCCGTTTGGTGGAGTCGCGCGACGTTGCCAGACTTTTGTCGACATGTCTGGCAACATCAACGTCGCGTACATAAAGCGTGCGTTGTCGCCTTATCGCCTTGTTGGGCAAAATCGGCAACCTTCGCTTGAAATATCGAGAAACATTTGTCCCCTAGAGTATTCTTCGCTTAAGACTTTGGCTGCCAATAAAAAACTTGAAGGCAAATCCTTCGCTAATGTCTGCGATGGCGTTTAACGTGTTAATCTGCACCAACTATTTGGTCCATCACCATTTCATGACAGCTCACTGCTAGATTCATTTCGATAAGTGGGTTTGGCATAACCTCGTCGCCTGACGGGTATGTTGGAGACCAGTTTCAAAATCCAGGTTCATCAGAAACTGCTGCATGGTCCTTGCAAATAGTACCTTAGTCCTTACGATACCCGTAGGAAAAGTTGGGGAGTGCAAATATACTACATGACTAACTACTTTTGTTTTAATGGAAAAATACTTACTGCCAAAGTGGCGAACAGAAGGCATACGCCAGCTAACATAAAAATCACTGACATTACTGTTATTGTAGTTATGATAATACCATTCAAGTCTGAAAGAGCTTGTTCTGTTCCTGAAACAATAGACAATGTATTTCTAATCTACTGATTGATGCGCGAATGAACCTTATAGATAGACTAACACAATTTACTTAATAGAACTTTAAATAATAAAACATCATTACGCCTTTTTATCCCTGAAGGGCTAGGCAGAGGTGCACATGCACATTACGGCACTCAATGCCACTGTACCTCTACAATGTAAAAACTCACTTTTCACTATTTATGTTAGGCGTCCCATGGAACAGGGGGTGAGCCTATTATTGCCATATACAGGGCACAATTCCAGACTCCGTGCTACTACTGGGATTTTTTTTAAATACTGTAAAGTTTGCACCACCCGGGAATCGAACCGTGAGCAACGGAAAATTTTAATTAATTAAAACCCCATATTCTCCTGTTTTTCTTCCTAAATACTAAAAGCGTCTGTGGTAGTTGTTCCCGCCATAAAGCCATAAAAAAGAGTAGGATAACATGAACTTGTACTTACTTGTACTATTTGTGACATTATTATATATAGATAGTACCTGGTCATAGTCAATATTCGTTTTTTGTTCTACCACGCCAAGAGTGATTGCACCTGTCGACTGAAAAAAGGCTTTTTTAAAGCAAAGAAACGGATCACCTTTTGGAAGGCCATCGACGCCACCGATGGTCTCTCATAACATCAGAGAAACAAATGCCTTACAAGCTTTTTGGAGTTTGCGGATCGCCGATGGTCGTACATCGTAAGCGTTGTGACAACGGTACTGACGAGAACATAACATCATCACGCCTTTTATCCCCGAAGGGGTAGGTAGAGTAGAGGTGCACATTATGCCACTGGACAATGTAACACCCACTTTTCACTATTTATGTTGTGAGTCCCATGTAATAGGGGGTGAGCCTATTGCACCGGGCACAATTCCAGACTCCGTGCTACTACTGCGATTTTTTTTTAAAACCCAGTACCTACCTTTGCCCGACCAGGGATCCCGAGACCCCTTGCCCGGCAGTCGCACTTGCGACCACTCGGCTAACGACTGACGAGAAGTTATTATAATATTATAATTAACGTCAATGCGAGCAAACCGGTGGGCAACAGCATATTCGTTTTTAAAAGGCCGGCAACGCACCTGTGGCTCCTCTGGTGTTGCGGGTGTCCATGGGCGGCGCTGATCGCTTACCATCAGGTGATTCGTCTGCTCATATACCTCCTATTCCACAAAAAAACAGTTAGTAAGAGGATATCTTAATCGAAACAGGAGCACGCAGTTTGAAATTGCACCTGAATTTTGGTACTGAACTCTTCTCATATGGTGAGGTACATAAAACTGGTGGAAGATGAGTTACAGTTCCCATGCGGTTACCGGTGAGCGCTCTCCACTTACTCCATTATAAACCTTATTTCAGATGTTTAGAGACTAGGTTTGTATAAACAAATGTTGTGGAATTTTCGTAGGCAATTGTGGATTTAGAAGTTAAAATACAACTCACTGGAACAATTTGTGATTGGTTGTCCCGAAGGCCTAATGATGTCTAATACGTCGTCTTAAATAGATAATGTTTAAAAGTAAATTGTAGATCAATCTTCCTACGAGAAGTAACACCTGCACGATCATAGTTTCGACTTATATTTTTCACACATACACTAGAATTTTGGTATTTTTTTATTTTTATTCGTGTTTTTCTTGCAGGTTAGAAATACCGTTTACTTACTATGGATAGGATTGCTATAAACAGCATTCCCATTCTGATGGATAAAAAAGAACAGCAGTCGTTCACTTCTGGGAATATCTCACACATGATTGCGAATTATTCACGGCATTACGATGAAAAATATAATACTTCACGATTTGAAAAATACGACATTTTATTACTTACTTTAATTTTGATAAGTCTTTGTCAAATGGTCGCCATGTCATGATAGGCCACAGATAAAGACAGTTCAAAAAGTAACAATTTAGTAAATAAAACTTATTTATGTTCATACTGCCCACTGTGCATAAAATCAAAATCGAAGATGAAAATTTAGACGCTTTTTTTTTTTTTTTTTTTAAGGGGGGAAAATCATCTAATGACTGCTCCCGCCTGGGTGAGGCGGAAGGGAGTGTCAGACTCTTACTGACTAAAAACCACCCCGTTCCTTCTCCTGCACGTCGAGCCGGAGCCCCGGTTACCCGTTAGGTTCTCCGCGACTCCGAATCGGCATCGGCCGTATTGGGCCCCATCTGTGGTGGTCTGATGGCTCTTTGAGGCGCGCGCGGAACGCGACGCGCCGTACGCTCGGGTCTGTTTCTGGTCGGACGGGGAGCCACCCATGCTCGCCGTCCGCAGTCCCGCGCTTACGGTGGCCGGAGATCGTCCCGCGATCCCCGACGCCCGGTGTGTCCTTCGCGATGGCTGGGTTGCGAGGAGGCAGCGCTTCGCTACCTCACGCGTCCCGCCTCCTCCTTAGCTAGCATGACTGCTTCGCAAAAGGAGGAGACGGCATCCCAATCCCCCTCGCTCCGCATCATGGCCTGCACTAGGCCCGGACGCGGGAGGTCGCCATCGCCGATCACTTCCCTGAGGACACGGCGGTGCTCAGCCCACGCAGGGCATTCCGCCACAGTGTGTTCCACCGTGTCCTCAGGGCGGTCCTCGCAGTGATGACACCCGGGCGTTTCCTCCCGCCCCATCAGACACAGGTACCTCCCGAAACTGCCATGTCCGGTGAGGACCTGCGTCTATTAATTTAAGGAAAATTTAGACGCTAAGGTGTCTTAATGTGTACATAAATTGGTTACATGATATTTCTTCTTTCTTTTGACCCGTACATGGCTAGATTATTTTAATTTGACTCTATACGGCACGGTTTAGTCATGTCTCCTTAGACATGACTAAACCGTGCCTCCTTAGGAGGCGGGGCGCGTGAGGGGACGAACCTCCTCACTACCCAGTCGTCACGAGAGACACTCGACAGGGATCGCCAGACGATATCCGGCCATCGTAAGCACGGGCCTGCGGACGGCGAGCTCGGGTGACTCACTGCCCGAGCAGAACCAGACCCGAGCGTACGGCGCGTCGCGTTTCGCGCGCGCCTCAAAGAGTCATCACAGATGGGGCCCAATAGGGCTGATGCCGATACGGAGCCGTGGAGGGCTTAACGGGTTGCCAGGGCTCCGCCTCGAAGTGCAGGAATAGGAACGGGGTGGTTTTTAGTCGTTAACAGCCTGACACTCCCTCTCGCCTCACCCGGGCGAGAGAAGTTATTGGATGATTTTTCCCGCTCAAGAAAAAAAATACTTCCACGGTTTGAGGCTGACGGCAATATAATAAATAATAAATAAAAAAATAATAATTTATCTCCTTACGAAATCTAGTATTTCTATCTAGTATTTTCACGTGAAAGAGTAAAAACATACATAGACGGGCCTGAAGATGGACGATCCAGTAACCTAGTTGAATAAGATAATACAACTTACCTCTAGTTCAAGTCAAGACCTCAAATACAGTTTCGTTAAAGCCGTATTCTAAAAGAATTTACCACCAGCAACAAATATACAGCGACTGAAATTTACGAATTATTTTATTGAAATTAAAATAAAATATACACAGATACTAAATATGGACACAGATATTAAACACGTGACTGATTGAGACCGAGCAACAGTGCTCTCTGATTTTGAACCTTTTATAATATCGTTATCAATGATCATCGACCCGCCTGTCAACTGTGGATTTTATGGCAAACCTGGTCATCATGGATCACTCCAATTAACCCATTAAGGCAAGCTGGAGATAAAAATCTGTACTCGTACAAATAAATTTCTGTACTTGGAATGATGGTGGCTCACGAGATCGCTAATTTCCGTGTCTTTGCTTCAAAGTGCCTTGTAGATTTAATACTATTAGGTTTAAGGCCTAAGCGCCTAAATGCCTAAGGGCCTAAGGACCTAAGGGCCTAAGCGCCTAAGGGCCTAAAAGAGCCGGGACGGTCATTCCGGTCCCCTTTCTTCCGTCCAAAAACTTTTGGTGACACAAGTCGGACAAAATTGCGCAATTAAACCTTTTTCCAGCATGTCTAAGGATGCCAGTAAAGAAACAGAGAACTTACCAAAAACTATTAATATGCAGACGACTAAGCGTATGCTCGCAGAAGTAGTATTAACTTTCCAAGTGTAAATAAGATATGTGATAGAAAACACCACATGCACCACAATTAGGAATATAGTAAGCCATAGGTATGTTTGCAGGATGACGTTACGGTACAAAACTGTCTGAAATGATAAATCAAGTCAATTTCTGTCACAACATTACATTGTCGTAGCAGAGGTGGGCATTATGACAGTGTACTGCGTCGTTGGTAAAGTGATAGGAAAAGCGGCTTTTGTGCCTTTAGGCCTAAGTCATTCTGTCTCCTGCTTTCCTGCTCTGTCTTCTATTGTTTTTCTATTCCTCTAATAATAATTGTTTACTAATTTATTTCGTTGCGATATCAAGGATACTTATTATGTCATTGAGATGTATTAGACTTCAGTGTTCTGGTGTTATCATGGTTGTATCTACTGTGGGTCCTGGCTTACAGGAGTTGCAGCGACTTTGGAAGGTTATCGCACGCTAGTCCCATAACAAAAAAGCGTCTGCACTGAGTTTTCAGTAAAGCAGTTTGGACTTATACCGGGTATATGGTAATACTGCTAACTTTATTACATAGGACTGATAACATTACTCTTGGAAGTGGCGTTCCATTGCGGTAGCTCTCGGATTAAAGGATGTTACATTATGTGCTTCTATAGTGATTTTTGTGGACTACATATGTGCTCCTCGTTCTTCTAAATTCTAAAATATATAGTACTAACTTCTGCCCGCGACTTCGTACGCGTAATCCTATTTTTTCCCGTCCCCGTTCGTGATTTTCGGTAAAAAGTAAAAAAAAAATTTGGTCAAAAAGTATATATCCTATGTCGGTCTCCTGGCTCTAAGCTACCTCCCTACCAATTTTCAGCCAAATCTATTCTGCCGTTCTTGAGTTATAAGTGGTGTAACTAACACGACTTTCTTTCATATATATAGATTTTTAACTTTTAACTAAGATGTCACCTGCGGTTTTCCCTTCCACTTCTTGTTTCACAAAGTGGCATGGTTGAAAACCGCTGTGGTTTAATCGTAGTGTACCTTGGTCTTAAGATAAACAATGAAAAGAAATCGCAAAGACTAAAATCCGACTAAACAACAGGTTACGATAAAGTTTCTAATCCTCATCTTTCTGAATCTTTTCCCCTCGTATTATGGAATTTAGTTTAATAAACCATACCTTTACTATGTTAGATGTCCCAGCAAGCAATAGAAACGTCGAAGCCATCCATAATAACAAAATAATCATAAACCAGTTTTCAAATAGAATTGCCTGGTCTGACTTGACGAGGATACTGTTTGCATGATACCATAGTAGAGGTATGACTATCTGGAACAGAGTTGATCATTAATTAATCATGTTTTTTATCTTTTCTTTTTAATTCTGGTACCTTTGTGTGTGTCTACTGTCAAATAAATTCTTTTTCTATCTTTCTCAAAGTCAAAGCATTTATTTCATCATCATCATCATCATCATCATCATCGTTATCATTATCATCATTATCATCATCATCATATCAGCCACAAGACGTCCACTGCTGAACATAGGCCAATTAAACCATAATTTGGTACTTTTGAAACGTCAACAAATACAAAATGAATAATAGTCTGTCAGTCAGTCCGTCAGTAAAGCTAGGTGAGTCAAGGTGCTCATTCCAAAATATAGGCTTGAATGGAAAAGAACGAGCAAGAAACTCCATTCGTTACTCTATTCATCAATAGCCATCATCATCATATCAGCCATAAGCCTCCTCCAATGACTTCTAGATATGCTTATTGAAAGCGATCTACATTCAGAGGTTCCTGTGACCTTAATAGGGTCGTGTGATTATTTATTTACCTATTTAAACTGTTTAAGGAATTGAACTGGGGAAATGGCAAATAAAATGTGCAATCTTCCCGAGAGCGTCGTAAGAGCCAACTGAAAGACTGTTTAACAGAAACTGGTCATATGTGTCTCTGTAAACAGAGGCCTTAGTACGAGTTTCATTTACGTTTAAAGTATTCGTAACGAGTTCGTGTCCGGCACTCTGATTGGCCGGCGCCAATCAACGAACCAATCAGATCGCCGAACGCGTACTCGTTACGATTACTTTAAACGTACAACAAACTCATACTAAGGCCTCAGGACAGAGACGGGTTGAGCTGTATGGAAATAAGCTTTTCACAAATCATTATTACTTGCTTCAAATGAATACTGTACTACTAATAAGAATAATACTAAATACTAGCTATTGTCAGCAGCTTTGTCCGCGTTCCCGTGGGTTAAAAAGGAGCTTGTGTGAAACGATAGTCTATTACTGTTTCAAATTTCATCTCGATCCCTTCAGACGTTTGGACGTGAAGGAGCCACAAACAAACAAACATTCTCATTCATAATATTAGTAGGATAATTAATCTCACATACCAGTGAAGATATAATAATAATAATAACAGCTACATGCAAACGTATATAATGACAACACTTCCCCATTGTCGGCCACTTGTCAAAACACGAAATCGCTAGTTTCACTTTATGTTTACTCTTAATGTATATTTTGTCTTTAGTATCAATACTCAGCTTAAATTGCCTTTCAGGTTGTTCAGGTTCAGCCATTATCAAGATATTTTGAATTAAATTACACTTAAAACAACAAGAACATGATTATGATCAAATAGCGTACAATCCATAGAGTTATATCCGTTATACCATCTAGGATATTGTCACAATGACAGGTGAATGACTCAACCAATTTTTTTTAGGCGAGTTCGCGCCTTTGGCTGTTTACGAGATGAATAGACTTAACTATAGTCAGAATTTTAATTAGATTCCAGATTTGACAATAGCTACTGTCATTTTGTTAAATAATGATACCACATATAAAAGTGTAGTGATGAACACAAAAATCGATAAACAATCAGTGTGTGTGTTTTATAATAAATGTTACAGAGAGTGACAGGATAGCGATAGCGATGACGGCGACAATTTATAAAATAACTTATTACCATAATACTTCTATCTGTTTCATTTGTCATGTTCCTTCATGATTACATTTTTTTATTTATTTCACACACAATTTTAAAAGAAAAGTCTCAGATCGTTAATTAATCGTCAAAACTAAATTTTTGGTTCAGAAATATTTAATTTCCTGATATACTTAGTTTACGAGAGTAAAATTATAAACGAGAAGAATCGATCCAGAAATATTGCATTTCCATATCGAATAATTTCGCAACGTCACTATTTAGTACTTGTCATAACGTTGCAACACTGAAATTGTCAAATCTGGAATCGAATTAAAATTCCGAGTATATAAGGCTGATTGCGTTACGCTGATGCACCCTATCTCGCGCAGTCCGCTCCGTGACGGACACCCGTCGCATGAGTATGCGCGCATTCAGCACGGTACCACGCGCTGGGCAACACGCAGGCTAATCCCCTTTACTTATTATAGTCTTTGGGCTAATCTAAACGGGCTTATTGGACGTATTTATTTTACTAGACGTTGTCGTTTTGCTACATAATATTAAATTAAGTTTTCCATCGATACCTACGACTGTATATGCACACTATTAAAGTTGAAGTTGCTCTGCACGAGAAGTGGAACGGGTTGGTTTTTAAACTTTTGGGCAATAGGCCAAGCAATGGAGCGAATCTGAGGTGTCATCAATTTTTTATATGTAATAGATCTGGTTGTTAGCGATGATGTGGCTGACGCTGTAGCGTGCTCGCCTTTAAGCAACCTATTAACCGAGGCCTTGAAGACACCCAGATTCAAGAAATCGTACATTTTGTAAGAAGTCAGCAAAATAATACATACTTTCCTAGAGAAAATAGAACCATTGGGAAAAAAAGTAATGCAATAATTAAAACTTTATTTACAATGTAAATTAGACTAGTTCCACATTACAGCCATGCTGATCAATTTATTTAAGTTTCCACTTTTCAAATTACGATGTCATGACTAGACAAGTACTGCAAAGACATTCTCAAACTGTTCGTCACTATTATGAAATACCCAGTCACTGAAAATGAAAATTAGTATAAATTACATCATAACATAACACCACGCTTTCTTTCAGAGGTGCACACTACGGCACTGCCACTACAATGTAACTTTCCACTATTTATGTGATAAGTCCACAATTCCAGACTCCGTGTAACTACTGAAAAATTTATAAAAAACCGAGTATTACTTTACCGACCCGGGAATCGAACCCGAGCACCGTAGCTGCGACCACTCGGCCACCGAGGCAGCAGTATAAATTACTTTATCTGTGAATACATTCAGACTATAAACTTTTGTAAAAACAATCGTTTATGCAGCTAAACAGTTATGCAAACTAAACTCAATCGATTGACGATATCTGCTTCATAATTCAAATAATTGCTAGATTCCACTTCACACATATAATTAAATTCATACATACACATAGCAACTTAAATAAAAGTTTGTAAAATAAAATTCGTATCGCTATAACTAAATACTGCTGCTGTAGTCGTCCGACTATCGAGCAATGCAGTGACACAAACCATTTGATGAACGAATAAAGTATTGTTGCATTTTCGATACTCAAATATCCTCTTTGGTCTCACAGAGTTTGGAACATGTGTTTCATTAGTGGCAATATACCTCCAGATATAAAACTGAAACTCATAACGTAACTTGTGAAAGCGTGCATGGTATGTAGCATGTGTACCATTTTGTTTAAGGACATAAATGATTGTGATAATAACGATCAGAGGCGAACTAAGCCTAGACAGCGCTCTAGGAAAGCATCGTATAGGCGCCTCTAATATTTTTGGCCCCGCGATCACTATGGACACACCCACCTCGCGTCATCGCGGCACTTATAGGTAACCTCGCGCTCTAGGCTCTTCTCTCTCTCTCTCTCTCTCTCTTTCTCTCTCTCCCTTCCCTATAGTTGGACCATTACAAACGTGCTAACTGTTATGAGCCATCTTTATCAGATCTCTTGCTCACAATTTTTTTTATGGGATATGCCATGTTAACGTTCAAACGGATCACCTGATGGTAAGCGATCGGCGTCGCCCATGGACACTTGGAACACCAGAGGCGTTACAAGTGCGTTACTGGCCTTTTGGGATTAGGAACTTGAGGATTGTTTGGGACTCAGGGATTGGGAAAGGGGGAAGGGGTCACTCACACGACGAAATACAACGCAAGCTTTGTTTCACGTCGGTCTTTTGTGAGGCCGTGGTTTCACTTTGATCGAGACGGCCCATTCGTCGCTGAAGCATGGCTCTCCAACACTTATGCGAGTGGTGCAGCATTGTCACACTCCTTTGACGTGTCAGTTCGCACGTTTGTAATGACCTAACCATGGATCTGATAATGACGATGTTTATAATGAAACAATGACTCACGTAAAACATCACACACAATAAAGCCAAGTAAAAAGCTACCAGCCAGATAGCAATTAGTGTGAACGAAGAAGCAGAAGAGAGCCAGTATAAAGAAGGTGAAACCTATCGTAGCACTGTATATGATTGCACCCCATTGGTATATTTCTATAAGCACTGGCATATTCTGAAATAATAAAAGAAGAAAGTAATTTATACGGTTTAACACCAAATTAATTATTGTTTTCGGCTTTCTCTAACTGTTTGACGAGGAACTAGTTAAAAGCCATTCTAGAGTAGAGACTTCCATCATGAGCAGCATTCCGCGACCCGTGACGCAGTGACTGTTGCGCTGCTACTGGCTGCTCGGCTCTGTGGCGGTGCAGGCCCAACGCGCCCTCTGCCGTGATTCACGCTCACTTTCCTCTATCCGTGGTATCAGGGGGCGGCGGCGTGCGCGACACTGCTGGCACGCTAGGCTCGCTCGTCGGCGGATGCGTAGGTGTTACACGCCTTGCTCACTGTGTCACGCTCCAAAGGAATATGAGCTTCTAGCAATGCTTGAAACTAGTCGAGTTCCTTGTCAGCCAGTTACATAAGCCAAAAACATAATTTATTTACTAAGTTTCAAGACAGTTATAATTTAATATTTAAAAAAAACTAACTCCACAATAATACGTATTACTCACACAGCAAGCTCCAACCATCAGCAGTACACTAACTAAACAGAGCATGATAGAAGCTGCTCCTATTATTATTTGTGCCGTCGCTTCAGTCACTGAGCTGTAGTTTGAGAGGACTGGGTTCATGTCCCAATACCCAGGACTGTGGCTTACATTTGGAGCGAACAAGAGACCGATTGTCTGCAGAAAAAAGAAAAACAATACTTTCAACTTCAAAGTTCAAACTAGGATTTTACTAGGATTTACAAATTGATATAGTACAAGTATCAAGACAAAATTATTTTGTCGCGGGAAATCCTTATATATTAATTACTATTTCAATAAAATATGTTCAAAAAACTTCAACCTCGAAATCAGTTATTATAATAAAACTTGCTCTCCTAAGTGACACACTTTTCTGAAAATGGCATTAAAATCGGTTCAGTCAATCAAGAGATATAGCGGCCACATATTCATGTCAAACTGAGAACCTCCTTCGTTTAGTTATGAAGTCGAATAGTTAGAAGGAGCCCTCCTTCGTATCTGTCTGTGTGAATGAATGTTATAAACTTAAAAAGTGCTAGACGGATTTTTGTACGACTGCCCTCAGAAATAGATAGATCTATTCTTAAGAACTCTTAGTCAGTGGACTCCTTTAGTATCAAAAAATACTCATTCAACGACCGCTGATACGTGTTGAAAACAGCGGCTGCTTCAGCCGTTAGCAACATACCGCTCATGTGTAAGAGCCTTATGGGTGCGTCTACATCTGGCGAATGTGCCGCGACTACGTTTGCAGATTGCCCGCAAGCACTGCGCGTGCTCAACTCATACAAGGTTCATATAAGGTCGTGAGTAGCTTGCGAGCTGCGCATTCGCTGAGCATTCGCCAGATGTGGACACCCTTAGGAAAATTCAGGTGTATAATTAAGTAAACCTCATCAGTAAAATGGCGCTGCCTATATTAATATTCATCGATGATACAATACCTACCTATTTTAAGTGATACTGTTGTTTGACAATGGGTACGTAACCGAACCTTTACTGGTTTCATTTAAATCCAAAGTTTTGGTCGCTTTATTATATCTTTGAATTGTGTGGAAACAACTCATCAAGTACCACTGAAAAATATGAAACAAATCATCTTAGTTTAAAAAGATTTCAATTTCGTCTTGTTTTTGACTAACTGCTAGGTTTGAATAACTTAAAAATACGGTCTAGGATATTAAATACAACATTACAATGAGAACTGATATAGAATATCTTCTACATCTATTTTAATACTTTGGTTATTGTTTAAGATTTTATATAGGTAAAGAATTAACTAAAAATTATGAGTTATTCAAGTAAGTACACTGAGAAAAGCTCTCCTAGTTCGAGTCGAATAGAATTCTTCATGAGCAGCTCGACCGCGCACGCTGCTAATAAGGAAGAGTCCCTCTGTGACTCGAAATTAGTAGAGCTTTTCTCATTTATGTGAGTTACTCGTAATTTTTAGTTATTTTAGCATGTTATACGATAGTTAAGATAAAAACATTTTATATAAAAACTTGATTTATGACTTATACTTTGATACCTTGATTGTTATCATTTGAATTTTTGTTTTGACTTTGTTAAGCATAGTATGTTACGTGTTAAATATTATGATATAAGTAATTCAAAATGTTTAACAACAATTATCTCCACATCACATCTTTGTATTAAAACAAAACTGTCCTTAGTTAATAAATATTTATGAATATACATTATTTAATTTATTGTTACCCCAAATAAATATAAGATGGTAAATGATCCAGTCATCTTATGCTAAGCTCTAGGTTATCTAGTTTAACTATCTCTCTAGGTTAAGTATATCTGTAATGTAGAATGTAACGAAGAAGTGTATTTTATATAATAACCCTACATGGTTATATAGGGTAATCATTTGTTAGGAAAAATAGAAGATCAGAGAGGAGAATGTATGCTTCTACGTACAAAAGAGAATACTGCTATCAACACTGTGCCAGCTCTGAGAAAGCAACAGAAACAACAACTTATAACTGTCGGTAACTTGTCCAAACACTTCATTTTGTTTTTCATTTGCACTTCACTGTAAAAACTAACGATTTTGTTAAATAATCTTGTCAATTTGTATTTGCGTTTTATTTAAACATGTCTTTATTTTATAGGTTAAGTAGTTTGATATTTGACAGTAAGTTATCTGATTAGATTTTTGGTCGAAGAGTAAAGAGGTTGTTTATTGTTTAGAAGATTCTGTTGCCTTCAGTGCTGCTTATAAGGACATTGAAAACAAAAGGCGGAAACAGTCTCTCGAAACAACGACTGTGGCACCTGGCTACTATAGACTTACACGTAGAAAATACACACATTGACACGAAGGACATCTGTCACTTTCTTAAGTCTGGTAACGTTGTAACCCATTACACACTTAATGGGTTAACTAGGCTCCGGCTCGAAGTACAGGAGTAGGAACGGGGTGGTGTTTAGTCAGCATGAGGCTGACACTCCCTCCCGCCTCACCCAGGCGGGAGAAGTCATTCGATGATTTTCCAGGCTTAAAAAAATACCCATTACACACACACACACGCGCACGCACACATACACACACACACACACACCCACACACACATACACACACACATACACCTACACGCATACATACACATAAAAATCGCAGACATTTTGGTGCTTCAATTACTTCTTACCGATATTATATCCGACGGCATTGGTTACGTGTCGATTCCTGGGATCTTGTGTTTGATTCACATGTCGTGCAAAGTATTATTGGTATTTTTTTTCGAAAAGAGCATAGATTCTGAAAATTTCGCTTAACGATTCGTATTATGAGTAGCAATCCGCAGAATTGTATTTATTTTTAATGGCGTAATGTGAACGGCAGTTATCCCCTGGCCTCTAACCAAGTAGGACATTGTACAAAATCTTTACCAATATATTCCTATATTTCACTGTTAACGTTCCATCATTTATCTCCATCACCTGTAGGTACCAAGGCTAAATCACAGGTCTATAGGAATTGTCTCTCCTATTAATAACATCCTGCTCCTAAATCTAACAAATACTTTTCTGAAAACTGCATCAAAATCGATTTAGCTAATCGCGGGATAGTCACGGGCAAACATACGCAAAAAATATACAAATTAAACTGGAAACCTTATTTTTTTAAAGTTAGTTCAAAACATTTGTATTATAAAATACAAATAAGTATGAGACATTTTAAGTAGCAATTAATATGCAACGAACAATAGTTACCAGGAATTTGAATGTAAATTGTTGGGAGATGCCTTAGGGCCGGTCTAGGGATGTACCCTAATAAAGAGATAGAAGTTCTACCGACAAACCAACTTTGTATCTCATTTCTACTTAAAATACTGCCTTGTTGGCCGAGTGGTTACAAGTGCGACTGCCGAGCAAGGGGTCTCGGGTTCGATTCCCGGGTCGGGCAAAGTATTACTGGGTTTTTTAAATATTCTCAGTAGTAGCACGGAGACTGGAATTCGCCCCGGTATAAGGCAATAGGCTCACCCTCTATTACATGGGCCTCATAACATAAATAGTGAAAAGTGGGTGTTACATTGTACAGTGGTATAATGTGCACCTCTTCGAGGATAAGAGGCGTGATGTTATGTTATGTTAATTTAAACTGTCAAACACCAAGCGGTCACCGGTGACCGCAACCTATTGTTCTATAATTGTGTCTATAATGACGGTATTCGACGAGTTAAAAAAAGATTACTGATTACGAAATAAAAAATAGAATTTGAAAGATTTGAATAATTAATTTTAACGAAATACCGACAGGTAAACGGTTGCGTTCGTGGAATTTATTTACCGAACAAATGATCCTGAAAATTCCCTGAAATCCAACGACAAACGCCGTTTGATGAAGCCTGAACAGGATATTCTACTATTCAAATAGATATTTGGGAGTAAATTATTGCTTTTGTACGTTTATTAAAACGTAAATATTATATTATACTACCAGCGGGTTGGTGGAAACGAAAACGTCATTAAGTGTAACCTAACATACCTTAGGAATTTCTTATTTTTTTTTAAACTTTGCCCCACATCGGGATTTGCTCCTGTATCGTAGGTGCGTTCACAAACATACAAGTTCACATACACATGACACACAGACCCGGAATAACAATCTGTGGATCACATAAAACGTTGATCCGTGTTGAATTGAACCCGCGACACAATTGAGAGAGAATTTTAACACGAGAGTCAATTTAAGAGAGGTAAGTGCAGTCAATAAGAGAGGTAAGTGAATACGGGCATTAGATACGCGACACCCACGGAAAGAGAAGGGACGGCGAAAGGTGTATTCTATTTTGTCTTCACCGCACGGTACAGTGGTCCATGGTTAAACATACGAATACTTTTAAAAAAGAGTAACGGATGGAGTTTATTGCTCGTTCTTCTCCATTCGAATCTACATTTTGGAATGAGCACCTAGCTTCACCTAGCTTCACTGACGGACTGACTGACAGACGATTATTTATTTTGTATTTGTTGACGTTTCAAAAGTACCAAATTATGGTTTAAACTGTCAAACACCAAGCGGTCACCGGTGACCGCAACCTATTGTTCTTTAATTGTGTCTACAAAACCGGTACTCGACGAGTTAATTGAAATAAATGCATTGACTTTGACATAAAATATGTTCAAAGTTCATCGCAGTGAGACGGTACTCTAACTTTATTGATTCCATATATCGTTTCCATCCCAAACGGATATTGGATAGGTACGTATAAACATTTCATATGTTAGAGCCCATAGTTATTTTCTCATTTAATTGCGTTTTTGGAATCTTTTAGTAGGTTCTTCTTTTAATAGAATTACTCCCTAATCTACAGGATTAATAATAAAACCGACAAGTACGCCGCACGATGATAATCGATGTCACCATTCCCTATGACGAGAACCTCGTGAAAACTGAGAAAGATAAACAAATAAAATATCTAGACTTAGCTCACGAGGTTGTCGACATGTGGAGTGAGGATTCGGCTATCATTGTGCCGATAGTCGTGTCGGCCAATGGGTTAATCCCTAGAAGCCTCGACATCTATCTCAGGAGGCTGGCATTAGATGGATGGATCAAGGGCCTGATACAGAAGGCAGTTCTCCTCGAAACGGCATGTATCGTGAGGAGGTTTCTTTCTCTGGACCCCTAACCACCGGTAGCTTGGACCATGCTCCCGCTACTGGTCGGCTCCTATTTTTAAATATTATTTTTTATTAAAAAGTATTTAAAAATGCAATTTATTATATTTTAAATAAATATATGGGAACTGATAAAAATAATTATTATTATCTATTTCTTATTATCAAACTTTTGAAGGAGGAGTGTCCGTCGTTTAAAACCTGGGAGTCGATCCTGATACCCAGGATCCAGATCGCTCGGGAGTCGTACTGCATTTACTAGACCAACGAAGCCGTTATCACCCACCACCTCTAAACCATCATTTAACCAAGAGTTATTTTGCGTAAAAACGCACCTAAACCAAATCTTAGCTGTATGGTATGGTTAGATGTCACCTTATAGGTTGGTAGAATCAAAATTGTATTAAGTATCGCCTATCTTAGCTTACTCTTCTTTTCTCGCGGTCGTGGTCACGTTAAGGCGGCCGTATTTGTGTTGGACGCCGATATTGCTTTCCTCATGATTTCCCGCCGTCTCTGCCTGTTTGTGGGTTTCCCGTTGCCGATTTGTCTTGATCAGTCCAGCGCATAGGTGGTCTGCTTCGTGATCTGGTTTCTTCTACTTTCCCCTGAACGACCAGCCACTCTCTGGAGTTGTTATCACGACGGGAGACATGGCCAAAGTACTGCAGTATGCGCGTCTGTACTATGGATGATAGATGCTTTGTGATGTCGAGTTCTCGGAGTATGGATACGTTGGTGCGGAGTTCAGTCCACGATACGCCAAGCATCTCCCTCCAGCACCACATCTTTTATCTTAGCTGAGGGGTTCAGTAATTTAAGAGAGGTTTGGGAAAATCAGGCCAAAGATAATATTCTTATCTATAAAAACTTATTACTGTTTAATAGAATCATTTGCCCAGCAATGAAAATTGTAAACGACCTATGTCGCATTCTCCGCCTATCATTAAACCCCTTATAAAATGGTACTAAGCAGGGAGTTAAAACTAAATCACCCACCTGTAGAGTTTATACAATGCTGGTTATAAAATCCTACAGCTTTCCTCCACATAACATTACGCCTTTTTATTTCATGTAAGAATAGACTGAGGTGCACATTGTATACGCGGGTAATAATGACCCTATGTCAGTTTCATCTTCGAAAAGGGACACTTTTATATAGCACACATAGTATCGCGTATTCTGTCCCCGAAGGGGTAGGCAGAGGTGCACATTGCGGCACTTAATGCCACTGTACAATGTAACCCCCACTTTTCACTATTTATGTTATGAGGCCCATGTAAATAGGTAATATTTTACTCTTCTTATTTTAAGGGACACTTTTTTGAGGGGCAAAATCATCGAATGACTCTTCTCGCTATAGGGCTAGATTTAAAACATCAATCAGGTTCGATTCCCACGCTGCGGACGACCTTGCAGCTACCGGGGCCCCGCCTCGGATCAGGAGTTGGAACTTTTAGTCAGTTAGAGCTTGACACTCCCGTCTTGCTCAGGTGTCATTTGGTAATTTTCTATCCTTACAAAAAACAAGGAACTTGCCACCAAGCAAGATGGTGGTAAAATGCTATCATATTGACTATTGGAAAAGAGGCATCTTCCAAATCTGACTGCAATCCCGAGCGTGCGATGCGTCAGACCACCACAGATGGGGCCCAGTAGGGCTGATGCCGATACGGAGCCGCAGAGGACCTTAAGGAGGCCATACACGCTAAGTTTTGCATGATGGTTTTAGCTGTGCATGCATAACCGACAGGCAAGCCCTAGCGTGAATGTGATTAAACTGTACATTTATCGGTGCATCGATGCTCGGTTATGTTTGTCGGTTTTGCATGCAAAATACCCCTCATGCAAACCTTAGCGTGTCTGGCCTCCTTTACAGGTTCAAAACCTAGCGTGCATGGCCTCCTTAAGAGTCTGACACTCCCTCACGCCTCACCTGTAAGGGAGAAGACATTTGATGA